GGACAAAATAGTACTTCTTTTTATTGCAATATCAGGAAAATCTAATTTTCGGAGAATTTTGGAAAATTTCAAAAACTATAGCCTTGGTAGTATCACGAAAAAATCAGTTTTTTGAAACAGAAAAAATGTGTGTATTTCAAAACAAAATTGACCGTAAAATACCGGTTAGTGTTTATTTCATAGAAAAACCCAAGACCGAGACTCTATAAATTTAAGGCAGAATATTAAGTCGTTTCTAAAGTTAAAAAAAGAACTTTCTCTTACACGGAGTAAAAACAATCGAAAAGGTGGATTGAATTTGAAAGAAGACGTAATGGTATTTTAGATTTAGTTATTTTAATTCAATAATTTCAATTTTAAAGCCCTAATTTTCTTTATTCTTTCTTGAGAAATATATTAACAAACCAAGGAATAAATATTGGAACTCCTTTGATCAAAACTCCGAATATTTATTCCTTGGTTTATGAATAAAATTTCGGATATCTTGGATTTTAATATATTTCTCAAGAAAGAATAAAGAAAATTAGGGCTTTAAAATTAAAATTATTGAAATAAAATAACTAAATCTAAAAAGACTATTACGTCTTGTTTTCAAATTCAATCCATCTTTACGATTGTTTTTACTCCGTGTAACAGAAAGTTCTTTTCTTGCTTTAGAAACGACGTAATGTTCTGCCTTAAATTTATAGTCTCAATCTTTAGTTTTCTTATGAAATAAACACTAACCGGTATTTTACGTTCAATTTTTGTTTGAAATACGCACATTTTTCTGTGTTTTAAAAAATTTATTTTTTCGTCGAAACTACCTTTGAAATTTACCAAAATTGTCCAAAAATTAGATTTTCCTGATATTGCAATAGAAAGAAGTACTTGTTGTCCGCTTTTCAAAATGGAACTCCTTTGATCAAAATTCCGAATATTTATTCCTTGGTTTCTTAATAACATTTCGTAAAAAAATTGGAGTTTAATATATTTCTCAAAAATAAATAAATAAAATTAAGGCTTTGAAATTACAATCATTTAATTAAACTAACTAAATCTAAAAGACTATTACGTCTTCTTTTCAAATTCAATCCATCTTTACGATTGAGTTTTACTCCGAGAAACAGAAAGTTCTCTTTTTTGCTTTAGAAACGACGTAATATTCGGCCTTAAATTTATAGTCTCAATCTTGAGTTTTCTACGAAATAAACACTAACCTGTATTTTACACTTTTCAAAATGGAACTCCTTTGAATAAAATTCCCGTTTTGAAAAGCCGACAACAAGTACTTCTTTCTATTGCAATATCAGAAATATCAAAATTTTGGACAATTTAGAAAATTTTAAAGGGTAGTTCCGAGAAAAAGTGAATTTTTGAAACAGAGAAAACTATGCGTATTGTAATCCAAAATTACTAGTTAAGTATCGAATAGTATTTATTTTCTATAAAAACTTAAGACTGAGGTAGTATACCATTAACGAAAAATATTGTATCACTTGAAAAGCTAAAAAAAGATCTTTCTCTAACCCAGAGTAAAAAACAATCGAAAAGATTGACGTAATTTGGAAACAATGCCGTATAGTTCGTTTAGATTTAGTTATTTTGAGGTAAATATTGCGAGTTTTGATGAAAAGAGTACGTCAAGTGCATCTTTCTAATTCAATAATATGAAAATAAATTTTTTTACGAAGATTTTCAAAAATGTTTTAGTGATTTTGGCTTTGAAACTCGCTTTAAAAGTGCGTATTTTTAAAAAAAATTAATTGTGAATCTTCGGTTCTCTTTAGATTTTTTTTTATAGAAATTCAAGAATGAAACGTTACTGCTTTAATGAAAAGTATTATATTGCTACGAAAGCTCAAAAAAGCAAATTTCTATAATTGTAAATAAAACAAAGTTAGAGATCAATTGAATTTGGATAAAAACACGAAATAACATTCAATATTTATTTTTATGAAAATTCCTTGTTTTCATGTATTAACTTTTCTTTTGAGAATATAGCAAGAACAAATATAGACGAAATTTTCAAAAGAAATAATTAAGATGAACACAATATTTGGTGCATTATAAGAGTGACATTCAAATTATATTAATCTAATAACTGGCTGTGGGTGCTTTGCCTCTAGTGACGGTTGTGTAGCTTTTCTTCTAGTGATGGTTGTATGGTTGTGTAGCTTTGTGTGAAAAATTATTTCTACCCAGTCCTCAGTGGTAATCCTGAGAGCTTATATAACGCTAAAAATCGGGCTTCGATACTCACGGTGAGTACATCACAGATAGCCTAATATGTAGCTTTGTGCTTAACAATTTACTTATTTGTTGTTTCTACTATGTTCACGAGGGGAATCGAACCCCTGGTTTTAGTGTGAACTTACCGCTATCCCACTTATTCATTTAATTTTATCATGAAGTCATGTTTTCTTGGGGTATGTTTGCATGGATACATTTCAGACTTCATGATATTAACCAACAAATTAACAGCCAAGGTAAGTACCTAACTTCCACAAAATATTTATTTACTATATAAATGACAAACGAAGTGAATTACAAGTTTGTATGAATGTGAACACGAAAGGCTAATATTCTAAAGTACGTTTCTTTAAAGATGACAGAATTTAAACCAGACAATAATACTGACATATCTATGAACTTATGTGAAAAACTTGAAACATATGACAACCTACAGTCTTTAATTTAACAAAGAACTTTTAACAAACAATAATTTAATTATACTTTCCAACATTTGTCTATTGACGACTTACAATTATAATTTAAACGTCACTATACTGTATCCGACCTAATTTCAATATATTACTTACAGACTCTTTGGAAAAACAGACACTTGTTAGTCTAAGACTTACTTTTTTCTTCATCGATAATGACTATTTACACATTATTATGTGCATCAACAATCACCACATATTTACACCTTACCCTGTACAGCATTAATTTACATAAAATGATGGTTAAAACGCTGCAAACCAATCCTTTGGAGAGCTTCTGCTAAGCGACACTAGACTTCTTAGACACGTAAAGAACCAAGTTCACGGTCTAAAGACTCACAAGTATTACAGTAACCATCTTGTCTCAAACTCCTTGACGGAAGACCTTTTAGTCAAGTCCAAAGGAGTGTCCGACAAGTCAACCTGGACGATCTGCTTCTGACCGGACACTGGACTCACAACAGCTGTAATGTTACCAAGAGGAGGGGTGACTAGAGGTGCAGACAAGATGGTTGTATAATTATTATTAAGAACTCTGGGTTTGGAATGGGATTTTCTAAAAATGTGGCTTGACTCTAATGAACTAATCAGTTGAGGAAAATCATTGGAAACATGAGTGGTCCTTATCTGTCCAGATGCATAACTAGATGGAGAAACCATAACTTTCTGGGTTGATTGACCAGAACCAACAAATACACAAGTTTGAGGAATACCCATTGATCCAACACAATCAATATTGTAGGCAGTATTTTCATTGTCTGTTTTTACCTGCGACTGTGGCGTTAGGTTCTCGTCTGCGCTGACACTTACAGGGGTGGAACCACAAGTAACAACAGCTAAGTTTGGCGATACACTTTCTGTTCTCATAATGATGTTATGAATAAAGTCTGACCTCTTTATTTGTTCCTCATTTAAGAATCTTGACGGCTTCTTTAATGTTGCGATCAATGTGCTATGATTATTTGAAAGGGAAACTTTGGTCTGGCAATGTCCATGAACAGAAGTTGAAAGACTGGTGGTGGTGGTGGTAAAATTCTCCAAGTCATGACCACCAGCATGAAACTTCTTATAAGGTTTGCAAACATCTTCCATCATCAGACTGGTATTCACCAAAGGGGGAGCTTGGAGAGCCCTTTTTAAGACTGGCATATGTTTTTGTGAGTCGTGTTTTTCATCAGTTTCTGAAACCTCCTTTGCCTTTTCTTCCAGAGATCGTGGACTAGAACAAACTGAATTGTTTGGAGTAACCACGTGGCCATGTTCTAGGCCACTTTCTATCCCAGAATCCAAGGGAGATTCTGCTCTCTTGGTTTTAAAATGGTGTATTTGTTTTGGACTGTCAGAACCACAGCTAACATAACTCTCATCCCCAGAACTTACATTCTGTTCAAATGTGTGATCCACTGACTTTTTTAGAGAATGGAGGTCCGAGATATATCCATGTTCTTCTGGTCCAATACTTTCCAAGTCATAGCTGTGTGTGTTGGAAAACGACCTAGATGAACTTTTCCGTTTATTAGAACAGGTCTCAGAGCCAAGGCTTCCATTACAGTCTTTAATAAAACCAATAGTTTCACACCCAATAATGTTCTGTGCTGAAGACGTGATATCTTTTTTCGAGTGTCCTAAGAAGTGGTTGTCTGGTCTCAACAGAGCCTGCAAGTGATTAGTAGAAGACCTTAAAATGGGTTTTGAATCCTCCGTACCCTGAGGTTCCATCTTGTAAGCCAGTAGACTTTCTGAATGCAAGGTTCGAAGATCCCGAATCATTTTCATCACTTCAGTAAAAGAAGATAAGTTCTTATACTGTCGAGTGGTTAAAACGTTTTGAAGAACGTCGGTCAACTTCTTATGCACCTTATACACAAGATCAGCATTTAGAAGGCCTGGTCTATCTGCAACAGAACAGAAATACATAAACAAATATTACTTGTGACAGAAACTGATGAAACACAACAACTCAAGGCCAAGTAATAGAGAATTCACAATAAAAACTAAAGCACCGAGTATTCCCAACATTCATTATCAGAATTACAAAAATGTTATGTCCCCCGGTGAGTCAGCGGTAAGTTTATGGGCTTATAACGCTGAGATCTGTGTAGCTATGCGCATAAACAGAAACAACCACAATGACATATCACATACAACAACCACACTGTTATATCATGTACGTCTCTGCTAATAGTGCAGTAAAGAATGAAAGCCGAAAAGTTGGGACTTTGCAGTGGAAAATACGTCAGTGTAACATTCATTAAACCTTGCAGTGGAAAATACGTCAGTGTAATATTCATTGAACCTTGCAGTGGAAAATACGTCAGTGTAACATTCACTAAACCTTGCAGTGGAAAATACGTCAGTGTAATATTCATTGAACCTTGCAGTGGAAAATACGTCAGTGTAACATTCACTAAACCTTGCAGTGGAAAATACGTCAGTGTAATATTCATTGAACCTTGCAGTTGGAAAATACGTCAGTGTAATATTTTTAAAGTAAAACATTGTAAGCAATAACTGGTCATGGCCTTACAATTTGATCAACGCTAATAATAAGAACGTTTTCACAAATTATACACTCACAGGTCACACAAAGCAATTACTAAGAACGCACATGACCCTAAAAAAACATTGACAAACTTTTCAACTCTACTAATAAACAGTGTGATAAAATTAATAATTATAACGTATATTTGGTCTGGAATATTTGTGGAACCTTAAATAATCTAAATTATCTCAGAAGTATGGCTGATAAACTGTATCTTTACTTGCGCTTAAGCAGGTCAGCATGGCTACTGGACATCGATACATTGAAAGAAGCAACATGTGTAAATGGTCTTAACATCGTATTAAGTAAGGGGGGACGCACCTGGTGCGACAAGCACGATAGCACTGAAGAGCCCAAGTTCTCTGGTTACCAGCTTCAGTGAGTTTAGTCTTTCAGCAAACTCGAACATGGAATCTAGCAGGAAAAAGGCACTGCTAGTGGACCGGAGTGTTCCTCTCTGAAGGCGTTGGCCATTCAGACAAACCATAGAGTTGTTCTGGGTATCTAAGGTGCATGCCAAACGAACAAGTAAAACCTCGAATACACCAGCCTGCAGAAAACGATAAAAAAATTTATATTCACTAAAATGAAGTAGCACACTATGAAGTTTACTATTCTAGTTCACCCTTTACCTAAAGCAGCTACTTTTAAACTCATATACAACTTTAATTAATGTGTATATTGACGTCAGACTGTGACTTAATGTAATAATGTTACATTTGTTTCGTCTTACCGGTAGTTAGTGAAATAATGGCATATTATAGTTAGCTTTATACATATATTATACACACACACACACCTGGTGGAGGTTTGGTAAATGATTATCTCAAATTTAAACAACATATCTTTGTTAAAAACAAAACATGATCTCCATTCACTAACTAGCCAGTGGAAGAAAAAAAAATCACAAGATAAATCCGTGTTTAAATAAGACATATTACAGGTTTAAAGTTGGCGTGATTGACAAAGTGGGCTGGGAAAACAGTGGATATCTCCACTTCCAGACAGGATGAACGAAATATTGCATTTTTGTGGCAAGTAAAAAAAGAGTTCTAATTACCTTAAGTAAGGTCATTTGGTCGTCTTGAGGGAGAAGGTTGAATCCGGGAACTTTCTTGGTAAACTCTACAATGCCTCCGATAGCTGTGGAAAACTGCTCCGAGAAATTTTCGTTGTGAGAATTAGTTCCAATGGCCAAAGGGTTCGATCCAAGTTGAAGTGGACAAGCCTTCATAAAAACAAAACAAAAAACATTGCTTGACCTTTATTGACACATTTAAACAAAATATCAACTGACGAGTAAATAAAGGCACATATAAGGAAGTGTGTCTGCTACATGGTGTGAGGCTACATGAGGACTGTGTGTGTGTGTGTGTGTGTGTGCGCGCGCGTGTGCAGTGGGGTAGTAATAAGCCACACTAAAATGGACTGATTATTGAATTCAACAGAGCTCTGCAACATGATGCAATGAATGTTGGAAATGGCAAGAGTGAAGTAGAGGCTCATAGGGCTATGTGTGCAAGCTTTGGATCAGATTGGTGTGGAAACCTCTATACGGAGTTAAATACAATAACTGATACCTAGAGTCGAACATCTCTGATGCAGTTTTACTGCCAAGGTATGGATTATAGTTCAACTTATATCAAATAAGGGCATGTTAGGTTTTAAAAACAGAACATCATCTATCTGCTTGTGTGAAGAGGTGGAAGATATGTGTATGTTACATTTGACTTGATGCTGGTTTATGACTGAAATAAATATAAGTTTATTTTCACAGAGAAGTCCTAAGAATCAGCCTCTGTTGACAACAGAAATGCATGCAGTTTCAAATGGCAAAAATTTAAAACCACTTGTGTGGTTCACTCATATAGTTTATTAAGGACAGTTTAGAACTGTTGCTCAATGTACCCCATACTTGATTACAGAAACAGATAATTAGAGCAACATGTATATTATCAGATTGAATATTGGGATCCTTCTCAGGCTTAAAAAATGGATGGCAATAGTTTAGCACCATAAATAAGGGCACTCCTCACCCTTGCCAAATCTGATTGGAAAGAACCAGAACATCAAGAGATGTAGAAGAGAGATGGTGCATTTCGTCCAACTGATGAATAGCAATTTGGGTTCTACCAGAAAGATATCACATGCTTGATTCTGGGCTTATCATGCCCTTTGGCAGTCCAATATCCACAATGGACAAAAATACTGTGTAACATGTGTCTAGGTTTTAGTTGCCTGGAAAATATGATCAGTTACTGCCTCCACACAGATGAAAGGTTAACAATGGTAAGATAAAGCTTTAAAAGTGTGTTGAAGGAAGGTCAGTTGGTCTTCTACAGCTTCTACAACAGCACACATGTCAAGTGGTATTATCAACGCTCCATTTTTCTCAGAATGATGGGGAAATAATCACTGTCTACCTTCCAAAAGAAATGAGAAGAGAGAAGGTGAACAAATGGATAAATAAATGAATAGCAATAAAGGTCTAATTTGAGACATTGAAATAAGTATAACCTCCAGTACTTAAAAAAGAAGGCTATGATCTGAGAGCAGGTTATCCACAGATCAACCTCTCCCATCAGTAATTCCTCACCCAGAGTGAACTGTGTCCACTAAGTCTCCCAGGATGGTTAAAGGAGATAATTAAATACAAAGACAATAAACATCTGCTAAATGTCCACTTTTAGAAACAGGTAAAGAGAACACTGTATTGTGGCATGAACAATGGAGGCATGAATGTCAGCGAGACATATTAAGTGACAGTCAGGGTGGAAACATACTTTCAGCAGCAATGCTACCCCTCCATAAACTTGTCTATAACACAAGCTGCCTTTTCTGTCCTTTGAAAGCTGCTGAATGGTGACTCTATCAGCAATTTTAGAAATTTCTTCTATAGAGAGATATAATTCAATTATATCAGTGAGATCATTTTCACCTAAAAATCTAGTTCTTTAAAAAGGATCTAATTTTGGCTTCACTTTTAGGTATGTCTTTGATAGGTCAATCAACCTCCATGAACATTGCGTATGATTTAATAGACAGTAAGTCATCACGTGATGGTTGTAACTAAACAGCAAGAGTGAGACTTGAACTTTGGTGCCAGATGGGTTATACACACTTGCTCTGGGAGGTTCTACATCGGTAAAGAAAGATGGGTAGAGTTGGAATTTTCCCACCATAGCCCATGGAAGAAGATAGAGCTCAGGTGTAGGGAGAGGAAGATTTGGAAAGGTCATAAACATAGATGCTTGTACTTCTACCGAATTAATAGAACTTACAGTGGAAGCAGAAGTCTGCTTTAAAGCTGGTTATATCAGTTTATGTGATTCACCATAAGTGATGTTAATCAATGTCTTAGATATTGCACTTGTTTCTAATCTTTTCACTTAGAGCAAGATCAGGAGAAAGAGGGATATTGGCAGTTAATATAAAAGAGTGGTCTGTAAAGATGGTACTATCATGGCCACTACCACCACAAGAGGTCTTCAAATGGTCAACATTTTGTCAGTTAATACAAAAGAGTTGTCTGTAAAGATGATACTATTTTGGCCACTACCACCACAAGAGGTCTTCAAATGGTCAACATTTTGTCGGTTAATACAAAAGAGTTGTCTGTAAAGATGATACTATTTTGGCCACTACCACCACAAGAGGTCTTCAAATGGTCAACATTTTGTCAGTCAAAACTTTGAAGCAGGTTTGGAACATATTGCTCTACAGGACAATTCAAATATTCTACCTTTACCATACTTCTATAGTACCCGGATATATCATCTCAAAGAATTTCCTCCACCTGGATGCTAAGAAAACCAATCATGGCTATTAACCATGGAGGAATTAAGAGTGTTATTGTAGGTGACCTCAATAAATTCCCCCAGAGCTCACTTCCTTTGTTTGGATGTTTTAACTAAAATTATATTCTGATAATAGTTCCTTAACTGATCAATGGGTGTCTGCAAGCCCCTCCAATGGTTTCTGGATAAAAAGGGAGACATTTTACTCAAACATTTATGGGGTGATGAATGAAGTATATGAAAGTGATAGATGAATCAGACCCATTATTTCAAGGTCTTTCCAGACTATATCTAAGTATTTTAAGTTTTAAAGTATTCATAACAAAAGGTTCAGTGTGCACTGATCCCTCCATCCACCATGGAGTCCTACAGGGGAAGCAATGTTTTCCAAAGCTCAACACCTTGAGGACAGTGCATCATAGACAGAATTTATTGTGCATTATATCCAAACAGTTTGGATGTCTGATAATGGTACTCGGTTGACCACAACTGAGTGATCATGAGAGAATTCATGACCAAAGATGATTCAGACAATACTCAACCATAAAGATCCTCTCTTCCCTTTCATGGTTGCCTCTCATGACAAACATGTGGGTGAATGTTTGGATCCTATAGAATGTAAGCTTCACATGAAGGCCCTTCCCTGAGTGGTCCTCTCACTACAAATAGGAATCCACATCAAGGAGCACTTCTTAGGAGTTACCTGCACTTTCAATCACTTTAAAATCCCTTTAAATACATACTAAACAAGCATAGAAAGACAATTTATATTAAGACCATGAGATACAATTATCTGATATCATAAAATATTAATACAGCTATATGCATTTCAGTGTAGTGGTAACAACCTTGATTTTTGCACACTTCTGAAAACATTCTACATATTTTGGGGCCATGACTGTGCTGTAAGAGTGATGGTCAAATCCCATCATTTGTCATTTTGAGACAAAAACAGTCCAAGTATCAGTGGTGGGGACTGTTGACTAACCGCCTTTTCTCAAACTTAGAAATGGTTGTATGCTAATAATTATTGTGTAGCTTTTTGTAAAAACAAAATACTCCCAAATCAGAATAGACATAAGACAATACATTATATATACATCCCACTAGGATAGCACACAAAAAAAAGGCTATAAAAATGCAGTTGACAAAACTTTAGATGATCATGTTTAGAAACAATTTAATGAATGAAAAAAAAAAGACCACTAATATTAGGATCAAGTTTCTTTCTGAAAAACTTGAACTGCAAGATGGTTGCAAGAAATGTAGAATTAATTAGAAGGTGCATGCATACAATGGTTTTTTTTCCTAGGTAATTAAAGGTTACAGTTAAGATAAAATTATAGAATGTAGTGTTTAAAAATCTAATAGGCCTAATAGTAATATCTCATGAGAAGTATAATTATATTCATGCTTCACCAAGTTCTAAAAGGTGTACACACCATAACAATGTTTATTTGCTTTTGTTTACATGCAAATCTGCACAATGGGCTATCTGTTCTGTGCCCACCAAAGATCAAGTCCCACATTTTAGCATCACCAGGAGGAAAACTTCAGGAACCGAAATCAACGAGTTGTTTTTGTTGCAAACCTTTGTGGACGGGTTTTTTTGTGAGTTCATAATATATACAAGTTAGGAAATTTTCACAAGGAAAAAATAATACATCTTTATCTTAATTAAGAGAATGGTATGTTAAATGACAACATGAAGTATTCAACAGGTTAAACAAGCAAGCTGGTTACGATAAAGTTCATTTTACAGTTATGTTTTTACGACAAGGTTAATTTGAAGTACCTTACCAGCTGTGGAGGACAATGGGTGAAACCTGGTTCTTGGTTTGCAGGTACTATTACGTTGTCTCGACTGAAAGCATCTTCGTAGGCCGACAGGATGGTGTTGATCAGCTGATTATCGTCCTCTAGTTCAGAGTTCAAACGTTTCGAAGCTTTGTCCCGAGACTTGACGTTCACTTTCTGCATAGTAGCAAGAATCTTTGCTTTCTCCTGGTTAGGGACACGACCAAAACGTACCGCTATACATGTAAAGAAGATTTAAATTCGTAAATATCTTTAGGAACAAAACAAAACAAAAATATTTATACCAAGAACTTTCGTTTTACATGACTAAAACACTTGTAACTAAAATTTCAATCATAACTTTGACAACCATTTCTTTCAACCCTCTTTAAAAGGACCCTACTTAGGAATATCCAGTGAAGTACTGAAAAAACTGTAAGAAATTATTTTAAAAAAATCACGGTCTTCGAAGTTACGTTATTAGATCATTACTGAATGATTCCAATCCTTACAAGTTCAACCCAGAGGTGCATATGCATACTTAGACTCTGATTTATAAAACAGCCCCATCTAGCCGGTGTTGTGCATAGAAAATATAACGCTGATAATAAAAGAACGTTGGTCATAGTAGAAAACACTTGTTCCAAGATATTTCTCAACCAATGCATATTATTCATGTAGTGTTTTTATCACTGGCTCAGAGAATCAATGCAATCACGTGTGTGAGTGTAAGAATTAAATTCATTAAAGAAAAATATGAAATGATGCGTCATAACTTATTAAAACAGCGCACGTTCTCACAATAATATATTAACCAATACATCACTCACTTACTAACTAATTAGCTTCAAAGATATTTAGTAAAACAAGAAGGAATCCTCAATAGCCGCGGCTGTAATGAGATCTCAAATAGGTCAAGAGATGGAACTATGAGCTGTAGTGTGCACTTGAGAAAAAAAAAAACAACAACTCAGAGCCATTCTATGAGCCATTATGCCGCGGCTAAAAAGTTGTTTTTCTATATGATATACGAGTTGCTTTATAGCTCGTTTCTGGGGGCTTGGGTATAACATCATGTGAGCACCGACTAATTCACGAGGCTCTACTTAAATATAATAAACAATGAGAATTCCACGTTAAATACAAGTTATGAACATCGTGCAACAGAATTTTCTTCAAGCGCTTTCTATTTCCCCAGAAAAGACAATTTAATCCCGAGACCCCCAAAAATAAATTCAGTTCTCGGCCATTAATTATATGTTGTCTTTTTGTTGTTTAAAGTATTATTTTTCTTTTTTAGGATGATTGAGTGTTGGAAAAAATTCCCAGGTGGCGTATTAATTTCTCAAGTTATTGTCACATAGAATATATAGATTTGTAATATATATATACTAAGTCTTGCGCTAGGACTAGACTAGGAGTGTATTGCACAACATTTTTTACTAATTAATCTGAAGTAACATAACGCTACGTACTGCGTTACCTGCTAGTACACTAACGCAATACCTAGATAGGCCTAATTGAAACATACGCCTACTTGGTTGAAAACACACAAGTTACCAGAGAGGTAATATCACAGCTAGCCCTGACGTGGTTTTCGGATGAGGCCGCTTGAATTAAAACTGTACTCATGGCGTTTTATGAAAGTCTCCAACGCATTGTTGGCTTAGTGAATGGATTTAAGACTACCCAAAATCTTTTATTAAAGATGGCCGAAACTAGTGAATTATTATTGGGATTAAGGCCGAAAATATCGTTCTCACGTAGGGTACACCAAATTGATGTATTAGGGGTTTTACTGTTCTGGAGTAATGATGTATAACATGAAGTCATTCTAGTCATTTGGTATGACAGATAATCCGTTATTTTTAGTGATATATCAAGCTTTGATCTATATGATATTTTAAATTATTTTGGCTTTAATCTAAATAATCATAAGAAATTATTAATAATTATGCTCGTAACTGAATATTACACAGCACCCCTGGTGGTTGAAAATCAAACTTTCTAATGTACACTTGATTATGATCAGAAAACTATAACTATTAAAGGTCTAATTTAATAGACTAAATCAATGCTTTTATTAACATTATTAGTTGGAATGTTTAATATCGTTAATTAATATTATCTAACATGAAATGTGATCTAGTAACAAACTATATATCAACTTATAAACAAAATAAGATGTTGTGATCCACCATAACAACATCTTAAATATACTACCTATAAACAGGAGTGCCACTTCAGATTTCAAAAGGCGGAGGGGGGGGATTTTATTGGAGATCCAAGGGAGTTTATCCCTTGGATGGTCTTGGTTTATCGTTAAGGTTAAAATGCAAAAAAAAACAAAAACATTTTATTTTGGAATCATCTGCTCTAATTATTTCCTATACTACTTAATAGCCCTTTAAATAACGCGAACTACAAGTTAGTGCCCCTCCCCTTGCCCTACCTAAATGACACCTCTACCTATAAACTACCGTACAAATAACAGCTTAACTAACTATCCTATCTATCAGTGACCTAGTGAATAAAAACTTAAATATTCAGGTTTACCTACCATCGCGGGACATACCAACATCGATGCACTTCCTAAGCCTACAATGCTGGCACCCATTCCGGTTGATCCTACGGACAGAGCATTGGTGGTTTTTGCCGCAAGGCCTGTACTGAAGTTTCTGGCGGGTACTTCTCCGAAAAAAACCCTGTTTGAAAGAACGACGACGAACCAGTTTGAATGTTCTGCCTGTTCTTATCAGGGAATATACAACAACCATTGCAGGCACACCTTAACTATTGCCCAAAGGCCTCACAAATTTACAACAATTACTTGTAACTAAATACACAGATCATCCAAAACTTAACGCTATATATCGATGTGTCTCACTCAATGAAAAAGAATTCAATTTCAATAAGTCTCTGATAAATCTAAATTACCGAATTCACGATCCGAAACTTAAAGAGTTCTCGCTTCCACTGTGCTACACGAGAAATGAGAACTACTCGTTCAACCAAGTGCCTAATAACCCTTCAAACTTCGAATAACCTCAATAAGGTTGTTTATCATAACCACGCCGTTAATACTGACTAAAGAGGCAAACATTCACGTGTGTCCTCCCACCCACTTTAGAGCGCGAGACCACGCGGTCATTGACCGCTAGTGTTGACATAGTTTTAAAGAAAGTAAAAGCAGTTCACGACGTCACCTCGTGAGTCTGAGAATGCTCAGAGTTTGCGCACATTGGTAACACGGATCTGATCACACACGTGTATGGTATTTTGTAATTTAACCTAGAATTAGCGATCTCGTGTCGTTCGGTCATTCACCCCAGGGAGAGTTAGGTTAGCTGAGGCCATTAAACCTAGTGAACAAGATGCCCTCGCTAACTTAAGGGGTCAGCAGGTAACTATCACTTTAACTAAGTTAGTAAAATTTGATCCATACATTGTTAGAACTTTATCAACTATGCTACACTGTGACGTAACACGTGTGCAAGTCAACCAGAAAATGTTCAACACTGTCGTACACGGTTAGAATTACTGAAATGTATTGTTTCCAGTTCATCGTAATGGGTTTCATATTTGAAAATGAGATTGTTTTTATTGTTTAGTTTTTATTACCACTCCTATTTTCTTTAAAGCTACTATATTTTCGGTTTGACGTCGCTAAGAACCAAGACTATCCGTAACCAACAATTTTATTAAACAACAATGAAATAAAATTTAGTGTATAACACAAAAACTGAATAAATAATACATGCAATGTTGTCTGAGAAACTGATATGAAAGCGGGGAGAGCTAAGCCTAAATAGTGAGCTTAACGTACACTAACTGAATATGGCTTAACTTATTGATTGTTTAACCCGAAATTGCATACATTATGAAGATACGGTGGAAAAAAATGTTTTCTTTGAACTTCTTACTTAAATAGGTCTATTGTCTAAAAAAGAATTTTGTAAGATATATTTTGGTAAGTTACAAATGCGTACGTTACCTAGAAGTAACATTATTCAACCAGCCAACATAATTTAATGTTTTGTTTAGACTGTTACCTGGAAAACTACAGAACTGAAGGATTTGTAAGTGTATTAAGAGTAAAGGTAGATTTGTTACCTGTATGTTACAATGTGTCGTATACAGGATTAGAGACTCTGACAAGGAGAAGAAAAAAAATCTAACGACTGTTTTAAAATTCAGGTTTAACAATCATATTAGGTAGAGACTGATTAGAAGTTAGCTCTTAACGTGTACTTCGTCTTTAAGTTAACTGATGCTAACCATTATTATAAATACAAATATTAAATTCCTTCTGCGCCCATACTCATCACGTGACCTTTACTAATTTCTACCTGAGCCCATAGTTTGGTGAAAGATATTCACCGAGTTTCCAACAGCTCCTTAACCCATGAATAAAATGCTGGAAGAATCCCGGCCAATAGGAAGTAAGCTGGAATTCGTAACGGTTTAAACTCACTAGCTAAGGCTTAACAACCCCATTGGGGCTGAAGAGGAACAACAGTTTCTGAGCGCCCCTGGTTGTCTCTCAAGCCCCTTCAGGGTTTGTTAAATATTAAACCCAAATACCTCCTAAGTTAACTAGTTTAGCAACACCGCTAGTTGTTCGTTGATGGAAGGTTGAAAATTGATTTGAAAAGTTAAAAGTTTTCACATTTTTTTGCTTGGAATTCTATAAGATGATCAATGTTTGAAAGAAAGGCGATACGAGGGGGTGGGGGTTGGGACAACAAAGTAACCTTAAATAGACTTGCTATAAATCTTATATTATCCATTCTTTGGGGGAGAAAAAGTACACTTGTTTTAATGTGCTTCCTCAAATCAGCCGTACTGCTAAGCCGTGAAATATAAAATATCCGACACATAACATCGGTAGAGACGCACTTGTACAAAGTATTTGTTTCATCAACCTTGAAATGGTGACTCAAAGTAGAATCACATCCTGATTACTTTTGAAAGGGGAAAAAAATGATTTTGGTGTCAACCTAAGTAAACATGATAATAAAATACTTAAAGTAGCTGATAAACAAAACTTTTACATTTTATTAGAAAGCTGGAGGGAGAAGGGGGTAAATGTAACCCCCCCCCTCAACGCCGTCACTGACGGGTTTGTTTGTGATTGTATAACCGCAAAACTACGCTACAAGTCATCTTTGCTGACTGTACTGTGTCCACCGCAGGTATAGAACCCCGATTTTTAGCCGAGTTACTGGGGGGGGGCACTAATAGGGGCCAATATTTCCTAAAATTGTTGTATTTGTTTGTTGAACGACGTACCTTGCAAGCTTCGCACGAATGGACGCCATAGTGGAATCCGCTGGCTATATCTCCACAAACACGACAAAGGACAGTGGTCCCATAGAATTCTAAAACACAGAATTAGGTAAACACTTTACTACTGTTACTTATTTATATATGTATATATTAGAAGTTTTAGTTATATTACCGATTTTCTAAGTAATAATAGTGAAGCCATTAACTTACTCATGACGTCGCTAACACTTAAATTTAATAATAAACAAATAGTATTATTTCACTGATTGAATCCAAGTTTAAGCCTATTTATCAATAAACTTGCATACACAGTTCCTGTTCACAGATAGGGTTTTCTAGTTAAATAATGAATACAGTGTTTGTAAAAAAAAAATGATTTTTTAGAAGATTACCGTTACTAGCACTCAGCGTAATGGGCGTTTTAAAGATTACCGTTACTAGCACTCAGCGTAATGGGCGTTTTAAGATTACCGTTACTAGCACTCAGCGTAATGGGCGTTTTTTCATCCCATGAGTGTAATCAACCCCTTCATCTCATGAGTGTTATTAGTTATTATTTTGCATCCCAAGTTTCGTCGTTCGGGCGCTTCATATAATTTTCATAATCCACACATTATATTAGTAAAAAATCAATAAATTCTATCTACATAAAATAATAACAGCATAACGCTGCTGTGTAGATGATATCTTCGTTTCAACACCTTCAAAAATCATCATAAACAAAAAAATATATATACGTTAAGTAAAACGCTCATTACGCTGCGTGCTAGTAACGGTAATCTTAAAACGCCCATTACGCTGAGTGCTAGTAACGGTAATCTTAAAACGCCCATTACGCTGAGTGCTAGTAACGGTAATCTTTAAACGCCCATTACGCTGAGTGCTAGTAACGGTAATCTTTGGGGTTGATTACACTCATGATATGAAGGGGTTTGATTACACTCATGAGATGAAGGTGTTTGATTACACTCATGAGATGAAGGTGTTGATTACACTCATGAGATGAAGGTGTTTGATTACACTCATGAGATGAAGGTGTTGATTACACTCATGAGATGAAGGTGTTGATTACACTCATGAGATGAAGGGTTTGATTACACTCATGAGATGAAGGGGTTTGATTACACTCATGGGATGAAGGGTTTGATTACACTCATGAGATGAAGGGGTTTGATTACACTCATGGGATGAAGGGTTTGATTACACTCATGATATGAAGGGTTTTG